TAGGGTAAAACATTAGCTGTCATATGATCAAATCCACTTGATCTGTTAGGCCTGAGGCCTTTTAGTTTTCAGATCAAAACTGTAAAATGAAACACCCAGACATCAAACCTACCCATCAACTGGCTCCTGCCTAGTGTCCACAGCTCTGCCAGAGATGAAGTGATAAAAATGTTTCAGGTCAGCATTAATAGTGTGAAAACTATTTCACCTGTTTTTCTGGGGGTAAGCCACAAAGCCATGTATTCTTGGGGCCTGGCAAGTGGAAAGACTAGCTCATTATTAGTAGAAAATTTCAGACACTAACCAAGTCTTCAAGTTCCAGGATTCACATTCCATAGCCATGGGCAGAATCATCTTTACACTACATTTGGGTCCTTTCAATGACTCAGTGTTTGGAAAATACAGGACATCCTGGGAGGTTTAATATCAACAAATACATAAAAATAGGTTAATAGGCAATGGCTACTATGGCTATGAAGGCTAATGACTATTAGCCTTCAAAATGACAAATTAGACTAAGAATAAAAGTCTATACGTTTTCCATTTGAGTAAAAAGTCATGAATTCATTCATTCTTTCATTGACTGAACAAATACTTTTCTATTTATGAATAAGTTCCTTTTTTGAAGAAGTTCACAATGTAGTAGTGAAGGAAAATATGCAAACATAAATAACTATAACTCAAGATATTCTGTGGTACCATAAGGAAGGCACAAAAGAGGGTGAGATTATTCCTAAGTGGAATGATCAAAGAAAGCTTCATGGAAGCCCAGCCAAGATGGCAGAGTAGGAAGAAACAGTATAGCCTAGCTGCCCCTTGCAACTACTGTGCAAAGACACAGAAAATATGCCAGACTGAATGCTATTTAGGAAATCTATGAAGAAAAAGTCAGTGAGCCATTTTTTCCAGACGGTGTTGTGACAGTCACACAGAGAGTTCTGTGGACATTGGGACAGGGTCTAGCTGTGAGGGTTCTGAGTTGAGTCTTCTAGCAGGTGGATTGAATAAAATGTTATGTACTAGTGCAAGAACAGGTCCTATATCCAGCATAGGCCTGACACTGTGCAGGAAGCAGGAACAGGTATTAAGTGGGAGCTTGGTAATTTATATTCTAGAGTTGGGTCACAGATACAGTGCAGAATGAGGAGGGGACTCGTAACTGAGAGTGGAGGACCAAGGCAATGAACTAGTGGAAGAACATGGGGCTGTGTACTGGGCAAGAGGAGTAATAGAAGAAAAAAATACTACAAGTAGACAGAAAGAAATGATTCAAGTACCAAGGAACCAGAGTCAGGATCATACATAATTAAGCAGCCATTGCTAAAAAGTAGTCAAGAGCTTGGAATGCACTATTCCAGAAGGCAAAAGATGTATGCTCACAACCAAGAATACCTGACCTTTTATTATTAGTATAATCTTATAGGAAAAAATACTGACTTAATGAAACTGAGGAATTATGAGGATTCCTTATGAAAAGACCAGAGCTAAATAGAAACTCTGAAATACAAATCCAGAGAAATATAATATAAAACCTCAAAAAATACAGAAAAGCAGAATCATTAAATATTTTTAATGGACTGCAATACAATAAAATTACATTCAATAAAGGGCTGCTAAAGAAACAATTGAAAATTAATTGGCAACTAAGTTAATCTTAAAGAACGGGTGGATCAAAGAACAAATCATAGAAATACTAATTCATTAAAGATGACAACAATAAGAAAATACACCAAAAATTTCAGGTTATAGCCAAAGTAAATTTTGAGTTTCAAATTCTCTCCTTCACTCCCACTCTTCCCCTACCCACTGAGAAGGCAAGCAATATATCAATTAGTCATGTGAAATAATGCAAAATATATTTCTGTATCAGCCATATCATTTTTTTAAAAAGCAAAAAAAAAAATAAAATAATAATACTTTAATTTGCCCTCAGAGTTCATAAGTTCTCTCTCTGGAGGTAGACAGCATTTTTTCCTGATCATGAGTCCTTTGGAATGGTCCTGAATCATTGTATTGATCACAGTACTTATGTCTTTCACAGCTGATAATCAGTCCAATATTGCTATTAATTACTATGTACAATGATGTCCTGGTTTGCTCACTTCACTTTGTATCAGTTCATATATGTCTTCTCATTTTTTCTGAAACCATCCCCCTCATCATTTCTTAGAGAATAACAGTACTCTATATCACAATCATATGGCACATCTTGTTCAGTCATTTGCCAAGTGATGAGCATCTCCTCAATTTCCAATTCCACCACAAAAAGAATTGCTATAAGTAGTTTTGTACATATAGGTTATTTTTTAAAAATCCATCTGGGGTACAGATGTAGTAGTGGCAAAGTAGTTTTTAAGTGGAATTTTACATCTCAAAACCACTTAAAAATGCATTTTCCCATCTACCCAGACTAGAAGTGCAGGAACTTCTCATGGGTCTAACATCATTTCTGATTGGCACAGAAGCTTTAACCCAAGTCTAAATATGTTCATCATTTCATCAATAAAAGAGAAAAAGAAGAGAGCAACAAACTGGGTGTGCAACTAAAAATAACTATAAAGTCAACAAGTTACAAAACTGCAATAAAAATCCTGAAAATCAAAAAAAAGAGATAATTTTTTTTAAAAATCACTGATTTAATAAATAAAACTAGGAGCTTTTAAAAAATAAAATAGGAAACCCATTAATTTGATTTTCTTAAAAATAAGAGGAAAACCGAATGACCAGTATCAAAAATAAAAAAGTCTATTAAAAAAAAAGTTGAAAGAAATAAAGTAATCACCAGAAATTATTTTGCCTGATTGTATGTCAATAAAATTGACAATTTAGAAGAAATAGTTCAATACTGATAAAAATATAAAATGCTCATATTAACAGAACAAGAAATAGAGGGCTTAACCCAATCTCATAAAAAGCAACTGAACATTCCATAAATGAGATCAAAAAGAAAAAGCCCCAGGATAGATAGATTTACAAGCAAATTCTATTAAACATTTACAGAGCAATTAATTCCAATATTAATAAGCTGTTTGAAAAGCCAGAAAAAGAAAAGGTCATGCCAAATTCCTTCTGTAATACAAATAAAGTCTTGATACCTAAACCAGGAAGAGTCAAGACAGAGAAAGAAAACTATACGCCAAGATCCTTAATGAATATAGATGCAAAAACTTTAAATAAAATATTAGCAAAGAGACTACAGCAACGTATCACAAAGATTATCCACTAAGACCAAGTTGGATTTATACCCATAATTCAGTGCTGATTCAATATTAGGAAATTTATCAACATAATGGGCCATATAAATAAGAACAACAAAAATCACATTATTATATGAAGAAATGCAGAAAAAGCTTTTGACAAGATGTAACACTCATTTCTGGGGGAAAAAATCTCACTAGAAAACATAAGGAATAAACAAATCTTTTCTTAAAGAGATAAGTAATATTCATCTAGAATCAAGAGCCAGTATCAGTACCAGTTTTATACAAGAGATCAAAGAAAAGATCAAAAGCACAAAAATATTTATAGCTGGTCTTTTTGTCACACTAAAGAATTGGAAACTAAGGGGGTACCCATCAATTGGGGAATTGTTGAACAAATTATGTTATATGAATGAAATGGAATACCATAATGCTGTTAAGAAATGACTGTTTCAAAGAAACCTGGGAAGATTTTTATAAAATGATAGAGTGAGGTAAGAAGAACCAGGAGAACAATTTATACAATGATAATATTTGTAAACGCAAAAAACTTTGAAAGACTTAAGAACTCTGATCAATAAAGTGATGAGCCACAATTCCAGAGGACTCATGAGGAAACATACTACACACCTCCTGACAGAGGAATGAATTCAGCATTCAGATTGAGACATATATTTTTTAGACATGGTCAATGAAGGAATTAGCTTGGTCAAATCATGCATATTTGTTACAAGAGGGAACTATATCAGCTTTGCAATGTCTTCTTTTTCAAACCCAAGATATCAGATGATAAGTATTTTTGGTTGGATTCAATGTTCCTGAATTTCCAAAGAAACCAAGAGTCTGCCTAGTGAGACTTTAGTTGGACCTGAACTAATACAGAGCTTATCTTAATTGCTATTATATTTTTAGTTAGAACTATATTATTATACAGAGGCAATATGGTACTGGATAGAGGGCCCAACTTTGCATCAGAAGGCTTGGGTTCAAATTCTGCTTACGACATATACTGATGGTGTTATCATGAGTGAGATACCCCTCTAAGAATAAAAGTAACAGATAAATTGTTAATGTACATGAGTGGAGGGAGTTTCTACGTTGAAAAAAATAATAAGTCCAAATTTTCTTGCTCCTCCAAAATAAATATATGAAATATTTTTCTATGTCTTTTGACATGTAATAACCCAATACAACTCAAACTTGATCATCTTTAGAAAATATCTCCAAATTTCTATTCGTTTTCTCATGGGTAAGAAGTGTTTCTCTTTGTGTGTGTGTGTGTGTGTGTGTGTGTGTGTGTGTGCGCGCATTATTTCATTTATTTCATTGTTTATGCCAATGATATTCTCGTAGGAGTTAAAATATTACCAACCAAAGGAGCTAAGACAAATATGGTATAAACTTCTTACTTTTGTGCAATTGAATCTTCTGGATACAACATATATCAACAGTGATACAATGGTACAACCAACAAATCATTCTGATCCTAAAGACCACTTTTGAGTCTTGAGTTTTTGCATGTGTACTTAACTACTTTTTCTGGATCATTTCTGGGCCAGGAACTAATTTTGTCAATGCAATCAAAGGAAAATCTTGGTCACATAGTAAGCTATCTACGGGTAGTTTAATAATCCCCCAAATAAAATACCTGGATTATATTACATATAGCATTAGAAGAAGGAAGCACTGGAAACTAGGATGTCACGTAGGAGGAAATTAAAAGCCATAAAATTGTAGTCAAATGTATGATATTCATATTTCAGCATGGACAATGACAATTCAAAAATGTAATTTTCTTACCATTGATTGTTACACCATTGTCTTTTGGAACTTCTTTCATTTCTTGTAAAGTGATTTCTGGATTCATATCAACTTTGCTCCCTGACAACTGCAAATAAGCTTTGAGAGAGGATGGGACTTTGATTGTAATAGACCCTGGAATGAATTAAAAAACTAGGTTATGGAATGAATTAAAAAACTAGGTTATCTGTGCAAACAATTAAAAAATAGAATGTCCAGACCCCAGCCTTTTCTCTACCCTGTTAATTTAACAAGGGAGTGTTTCCACTCCTTTAGCATTTTTCCCTACATACCTTTCCCCTACACATTTCCATTGTAATCTCTTTTCCTTGTCTCCAGCTGGATAGAGAATGATCAAGGAAATTCTGTGAGCACATGGTATCCACATTGATTTCAGACAAATGAGTCATGAGGTCATTATGAGCTACCATTTCTTCTGTAAACAGCACTAGCCAACTCACAGTCCCAGGAGAATCTGCATAGTCAGCAATTTACTTCATCTGCAGCTTGTAGTCAAGGATTGCTATTATTTCCACACTGATGTCAATTGAGTTTTATGAATCATCTGTTGGGGGAAATTCTGTAGCCTGCACAACCCTGAGGCTGGCTCCATGAACCCATACACTTTAGGACTCATGGCTTTAAAGGATTTATTCCAAATGTAACTAAAATAAACAGTTATACCATCACAGTGATTGCATATACACATTTGAAATTCTGGGACTGAACACTTCTAGGTCATAGGATTCTAGACCTAGAGTTAGAAGAAACCTAAGAGGCTTCCCAGTCCAACCCTCTTATTAACAAATGAGGAAACTGAGGCTTAGACAGGTGAAGTGACTTTCCCACAGTCTACACAGGCAGAAAAGTATCAAAGGTGGGATTTGAACTTGAGTCATGTGGTTCCAGAACCAGTAAGCATCATATTTTACCACATAGTTTCCAAGATATCTTAAGAAAAAAATTTTCCTGTTATGCAAGAATTTTTTTTTAATCTAAAAGAATCTCAAGAAAATATTTGATGATGTAATAAGGTACCTTAGAAAAGTTTTATGTAAAAGGTTTCTTGTTTGAATAGTAAGGGACAATTATTCTTTTGGTCAGACTTCAGTTTTTCAAATACCTGGAACAAAGGATAAAACCTTATTTTCTGTACAATCCTATATACATTCAAACTCCTGCTGAAAGAAATCAGAACAATTCTTTAGTTGGTTATGGAAGACTTTTCAAAACGCTTTTAACACTCGCTACACTATAAACTCATCAGCTCATTCCTGTTTTGGCAGCTTTCTTATCAATATGTCACACAACAATCAACACATCTAAGATATTCTTATAAGAGCATCAATCACAGCTTAATGAACCAAGATGATCAGGATGACATACAGAGTTTGTTTTGAAGATTAAGTTTTGAATGCATTTTTTAAAAAAAAAGGTTCTAATTGCACATTTTCCATATAGCTAGGTTAATATCAGCTTTAGTTATACTTAAGTAATTCCACATCTGGTTAAAAGAAAACTAAAAATATTCTTTATTCCCACCCTGAGAGTGAGGTCTGCAAATGACTGGCAACTGAAAATAACTGAACACAGAAATATACTTAGGGAGTTACTTTCATTCTTTTTTTTTTTTTCCAGAACCTTTGTGGTTAGAAGATAATGCTGCTGGGATCCCTTAAAGCTTGGGGAAGATGAACCCACTCATGAGTGAGCAAGCAAAAACTGTAGCAAATAACCCATACCACTTGCAAAAAAGTTATGATAAAATAATAGTCAAAACTCAAATGTGAATGAATACTGAATACTGCAAGATTCTTCCTTCCTAAAGAGATTTAGGCCTAGGTTTAAAACAGAAAAGATTAGGAAGAGAGAAAATTTTTTCCCCAAAATAAAAATCAGTAAGCAAAACAAAACACATGGAATTTCCATCTCTAAATATGCTAGAATCTTAAGTGGTCCAATGTTAGTCAATAACCATTCTCCTTTAGCAAGACCCTTTAGGTTCCAAGCTTGGAATGCCCCTTTTTGGTATACTCTTAACACATTAAAATTTTCTCCCACCTGGTAATCATTCATGGTTATTAATACTAACTCTGGTTTTGAAGAATTCAAAAAGGGAATTCAAAATGTCATCTTGTGACTTCTTACAAGGTAAGAGGGAACAAACAATCTTCACCTTTTTTTTTCCCAAAAAGATGCACAAGAGGTTAAAGTGACTGGTGCTGCACCCTGGATAAGACAGTGGCAGAATTGGAATGGATTCCAGACATCCTTAGTCATCATTACACCACAAAGCTCTATATTGCTTTCTGCTGTCCTCATCACAGATAATATTTCCATGTGGAATTTGTTAACAGAAATGAAGACTGAAAATTTTGATCTCATTTATCTTTGTGCTTCTGCCAATAACACAATCACAGTAGGAGAAAAGGCAGGATTGCAATCCTACTATGTTATGTCAGCAGGGAGGTTACTGGAATGAAACCAAATAATGATCAAAAGGTCCCAGTCAAAAGCATGAGGATCAACAGTTATTTTTTTCTCTTCCATTCTAACAGAAGAGGAAAATCATTCTAATATGAGAAGCAGTTTAGTCATTCTTATTTCTCTTTCTATTAAAAATGAGAGGCAACATGGTGAAAGAACACTGTAGTTAGAGGGAGCAAATCTGGGTTTGTGGTCTGATCTCTCTCTGACGGGTGACCATGGGCATGTCTCTTCATCACTTTAAGCCTTAGTTCCCTCACTTATAAAATAGAAATGTTAATACTTACATCACCTAATCCTAGGGCTACTTTGAGGACTGTAAACCACAATGTACTATATGAACCATTACTACTATTTTTATTCTGATGTTAAGCAAGGAGAAATCGAATTCTAGCTCTGAGTCTGTATTGGTTTTTTTTTCTATTCTACTATTACTATATCTAGTAATTCCAAGGCTTAAAGCCTAGTTTTCATTAGATAATTAGTATAAGGGCTACTTCAGCAAACCAAAAGACTTGCAGAACAATTATGTCACCCAACCCATGTACCATCATGCAAACAAAAAAAGAACAGAACTCAAATGAATTCATGAAAGTAAAGACACTTTTTATGAGATTCCAGTGTGAGCTATTTACATGGAATTACTTTTGCTAGAAATCAAATTTTGAAATGTTCTATAAATGCGATTTCAAAAGACCAACCAGGAGATCACCAAAAAGGTCTCGGGACAATAACACACTTTGTGAATCATAAGCTAGAGCAATGTATTTTCCAAAATATTTAGTCCCTAATTTAAATTCTAAAAAACATGTTGGTGTTTTTTTATCCTTCCAAGTCCTGTCTGCTATATACTAGGAAAGTTCAAAAATGAAAAAAAAAATTAATTCCACAATAATGATTATCTACTGAGACAAGAGATCTGAAACATTTTTGTTTGTGGTGGCAAACTGGGACTGGAGAGTGGAAAGGATGGTAAATGGTCTTCATGAAATCGTCCCCAAATCTAAATGCCTGAGGATACCTAGAATGGGGGTGTGTGTGTGTGTGTGTGTGTGTGTGTGTGTGTGTGTGTGTGTGTG